GGGCACGAACCCGCGTCCCCCGCATCGGCAGGCGGACTCCCAACCACTGCACCACCAGGGAAGCCCTACTCTTTTTTTTTTAAATTAATTTATTTATTTATCTTTTTTTTGGCCGCATTGGGTCTTTGTTGCCGCGCGTGGGCTTTCTCTAGTTGCAGTGAGCGGGAGCTACTCTTGTGTTGCGGTGCGTGGGCTTCCCAACACGGTGGCTTCTCTTGTTGCGGTGCGTGGGCTTCAGTAGTTGTGGCACGTGGGCTTAGTTGCTTCGCAGCATGTGGGATCTTTTAGGACCAGGGCTCGAACCCGTGTCCCCTGCATTTGCAGGCGGATTCTTAATGACTGCGCCACCAGGGAAGTCCTGGAAGTTACTCTCTTTTCAAGTCTCTTTTCAACCCTCCTGACCACCTCTAGAAGGAAGGCTTGGTTTGGGGCTGGTGGGTCTCACCCACCTCCCCACTTCCAGCTCATCTGCCTTTCTAACGAAGGGAGAGCAGGCTTCAGGTTCAGAGTCTCTGGATGGCAATGGCCTCAAACTAGAATTTAATAACACTCTTTTATTTCCTTTATGGTAAGGGATGCCATTTTCCAGTTATAGATGGGATCATGTTTGCTTTTAAATTACTTCAAAATGAGCTGATTTAAAGGAAATATTAGGTAAATGTCACAAAGGGAGTGGCCACGTGACTGGGTCATGTATCATGCTGGCCAGCAGAGTTGAGGCTCCAAGCACACAGCCCTACCCTCTAACTCTGGTTGCTGTGTCCACCAAAATATCAACTCTGGCAGCTCTAGCCTTTCCCGGGCCAAACCTGGAAATGATGGGACACAGGACAAGCAACTTTCCCCTGAAACCCAGTCCTTAAAATGTATGAACTAAACCCAACCTTAAGTATAAGAGAAGTTGATTTTTGCAGTAGAATTCTCACATCCTCCAATAATGGAAATCACTAACATACTGAGAGGCATTCTATATGGGTCTGCTCAGTGAGTTACACCCGCACACAGGTGCGCAGGGTCAGAACAGGTAGCCACAGTCTGAGCCCCTCCCAACAGACAGTGGCATCTCATCCTGAAGCTTCCCCAACCCAACCCTGATGGGCTGAGGTCAGCATGGGGCTCTGGGGCACAAGGCTGGCTTCTAGTCCTGACTTAGCTGATGTAGGCCTGCCACTCCCTGTCTCTGACCCCTTGTATCTTATCTTTGAGATAGGCTTTAGGCCTCAATGATCTCCAAGTGGGCAGCAGAGCAGTCAGGAGACTGGGATGGTATCTGGGCTGCAATCCTGAGATGTGTGACCCTGGGCCACACTTTCCTCATCTGTCAAGACCTAACTTGGGCACGTGCTGCAAGAGTGGAAATAGCAATTTATCCCACATCAGTGCTGTGGCCAGAACAGCACCGGTGTCAAGGGCAGCTCTGGCCCTGCCGCTGCTCCCACCCTGGGCTCCTTCCAGCACTGAAGCAGGCTTGAGACACGACATGGGGCGATTCAAGGCCCTGGGTCTACAGAGGGTGACAAGATGCATGCGGTATTCCCGCGGCTCAAGCTCTCTCACTACATGAGCCTGCATGTGGCCACCATGGCAACCTCTCAGGGAGGAAAAACTTCTTTGCATAAAGGAGCCCAGTCTCAGAGCTGAGTCCAATGCAAGGCCTCATAATGCAGCAAATAAGGTGGTGGCACTGGGGCTTGAACCCAGGTCCTTGGATGCCAAAGCTCAGCTGCTACGGCCTCATGCCCGGGCCACCTCTCCTCCGTTCCTGTCCTTCACAGGTCACTGAGGAGAGCTGAGTTCTTTCATAGGAAAATGTCCCAGCTTATGCTCAGGACAGGAGGCCCTGGGCAGGAGAGCAGAGACAGTCCTGACTTGGCTGTCTGCTAACCTGACCGTGATCTTCCTGAGGGAAACAAACATCAAGGGTCACTCTGACAACGAGCTCGGGGCCCTCCCTGGACAAATCCGCTGTTTCCTCTCATGGCCCAGGCCCTGTACGCCTCCCCTTTCAGAAAGCACAGCTGTGCCATGGAAGGCGCATCGGACTTGGAAACGGGAATATGGCTCAGCCACTGACCAGTGGCAAGATCCTGGGCTGTTTCCCCAGCTCCCCTGAGCCTCAGTTCCCTTAACTCACAAAATGGACTTGAGTCGCCTTAAGGGTTAATGACATCGGCCGGGGGGCTGGGAGCGGAGGCTTGTCCCCACCAGTCTGGGCCCACTCGCCCTGCAGACCCTCACCTTCAACTCCGACTTCTTCTCCAAGGCCTTGGCGATGACCCTGGCTGCTTCCACGCCCACCGTGTTGCCCTCCAGGCGCAAGGCCTCTAGGCCCTCGAAATCTTCAATCTCCTTAATCACGTCTTTGGCTGCCCAGGACCAAAAAAACAGAACCTTAGACTTCTGGAGCCACGAACGGCAGAGGCAGGAGCTGAGGCCCAGCGACTACCTCGTCACTCACAACTCCAAGGGCTACGGTGCACCTACTGGGTGCCAGACCCTGGCTCACCAGGGACACTTGGACCGGCTCACAGTCTAGCAGGGTACATGGCTACACAGAAAATCCCTCTCTAATTAATTAATTAATTAATTAATGTTAAAACAAGGCAGGTATGAAAGGCTTGGGAGGCAAAGGGAAAAGAGGAACTGGCTGGTTTGGGTGAAGAAGGCGCTAGGCGCACCTTGTGGGTCGTGTGTGTGCAGCCTGCCAAGGAGGGGGGTACACCAGGCCCGGCAGGGAAACGGCCCAAGTCAGAGGCCAGCAGGCGCGATGGCACACGTGCTTTCACGGTGAAATGACTCACATGTGGGGTGCTCACTACCGTCCTGTTTCATTATGATGAAAAATTCCATACAACCTAAATGTCCATCAGCAGAGGACAGGTTAATTCACTGGGATACGTGACATAAATAGTTACACTGATGTCCTTATGAATGGCAACACAGGTGATTATCTGACTTGGAAAATAATCATGTTACAGTGGTAAGTGAAAAATTAGGTTATCCAGTGGTGTTTGGTCTGATCACACTTTTAAAATGTTGTATGCATTCTCTCTCACACGCACACACTGAGGTCCAGAAACCAAATGTTAAAGGGGTTATTTCCAGGTGGTGGGATTCTGAGTGAATCTGTGTTTTTCCAGCACCTGCTCAATATATTCTCAATGCAGCAGGTTAGAAAGCAGCTTTTAAAGTATCTGTAATTATGATCTCAATTATTTTAAGAAAAAAAAGAGGAAGTCAGCTATGTGTTTAGAAAAAAAACAAAAGACCAGAAAAAATGCATGAAAATTAAAAGTAGTTATATCCCTGGGCTGTGTTATAATGAAGATATGGTTCTTTTTCCATGCTTTCGATGCTATAATGAGCATGTATTAATTTTACAATCTGAAAAAAGCATGCAGGTTACACGAAAGACAAATCTAGTTTGGCTGGCACAGGATGGAGCGGGTGACGTGGTAGGGAAGAGACAGAGGAGTGTGAGAGAAGAAGAGAACACACAACTGGAGGGTTGTCGGAAAGCTTGTGACTTGCAGCCCATAAGGGGCTCCCTGAGAAGCCTCCACAGGCGCCTCCCTCCCCTCGCCTCCCGTGCAGCAGCACCTCCTCAGAAACCCTTGCTACCGGCCAACAACTAGGCTTCACAGCCTCTAATGTCCCACGTGCAGCCTGCTACAATTTTACACTCATCTGAATAGTTACTTTTTTTTTTTTTTTAGTTCCCCCGACCAGGAGTTGAACCCACCCAGGCCCTCAGCAGTGAAAATGAGGAGGCCAACCAGGGAACTCCCGTGACTTGATCGTTATACCATCTTCCTTACTGGGTCATGAGTTTGTGAAGAAAGGGACTCGCTTTGCCTCTGCTCACTACCACCACATCTAAAGGTAGTTACTGTTAGGTCTAGTCTACAGCTGAGTGAACTGAGACACAGAGAGAGTATCCAAATACCTACTAAGGTCACACAGACAGACGGCAGTGACCAGCATTCATTTCACAACAAGAAAGACTGGACAGGTATGAGCCTCCCATTTTCTAGAAAGGAAAGCTGAGGCTCCAAGGAATGAAACCACTCTGCCCAGGAGTTCAGGGAAAACGGCAGAGCTGAGCTTCAGACTGGTTTTCCAAAACTGAACCTACGTGCTGCTCCCCAAAGCCTTGCTTCTGCACAACCAAGGACTTTATGCAGGGCCCTGGCGGAGAAGTCCCCAAACCTCTCTCCATACTCTGGAGCTGCAATTCCAGAGCTCCAGGTGCCCAGGCCTCCCCTGCAACTGGCACTTGGGGCAAGGGCTGGCAAGGCCTCTCAGCCCTTTGGAAGATTTGCTCCAAAAGGGAGTCCCCCTAACATCCAGGGAATGGCCAGGTCAGGAGAAAGGATGGCTGCTCAAGGGAATGTTTTTTTTTGTTTTTTTTTTGTTTTTTTTTGTTTTTTTTTTGCGGTACGCAGGCCTCTCACTGCTGTGGCCTCTCCCGTTGCGGAGCACAGGCTCCGGACGCGCAGGCTCAGCGGCCATGGCTCACGGGCCCAGCTGCTTCGCGGCATGTGGGATCTTCCCGGACCTGGGCACGAACCTGCGTCCCCTGCATCGGCAGGCGGACTCTCAACCACTGCGCCACCAGGGAAGCCCTCAAGGGAGTGTTTATACCGTTCTTAGAAGGAAGGCAACAGAGATGCCAGGGGAGCCATGTAAGTGACACAGGTACAGAGATCCGAAGGTACTGCGCTTGCCACAAGTTTAGCCTGGGGAGAGTCACAAGCACAGAGTGAGCGTGGAAGGAAAAGCACCAAAATGGGAAGAGCAGGTACAGGAGAGGGTGAGGGTCACAGTTGAGTTGCCTCTCTCACTTGATATTCAACCCATACCTCTGTTTAAACTCAAAAACAGGTGAGGGATGGGCCCCAACCATCCCTGAATAACCACCGACTGTCATGAGGCTGCGTGGAAGGGATTTGTCTTTTCAGCCTCTACTGCCTCACAAAGTAACAAGTTCCAGGTACTCTGCTATGTAAGGCAGCAAGAACTTTCTTTGATCCTTAAATGACTTACTAGGGAGAGAAAAGGCCCTTGTTCTAATCATCAGCTTCACGGCCTCCCCTCACAGGCCCCTGCCCTCCCCGGACCTCACCCGCTCACTCCCAGCCCAGATAGAGGCCCTTTCTGGGCCCACGATTAGGCCACCAGGCAACCAGGCACCTCGGTACAGCATTCAAGGGCCTCTGCCCTGGTGAGATGAGATTCTGACTTCTCTTCTCTCAAGCCCACCCTATGTGTCTCAGCTCCTGGGTCAACTCACGTGCAGTGCCCTTCCTCCTTCAAACACCCACCTCATCCATAGAATGACTTCCTGTGCCCTCCTAAGCTAAAAGAGATCCCTTTCCTCGATCTTACTGCCCAGAGCTTTCTTTTCATGTCTCTCTGAGCACGTTTCACCTTCTCCCTCCTGTTAGTTGTCTGGGTACCTCATTCCTATTCCAGGTAAGGAGCTCCTGAGACGCCACGGCTATAAACTGGCCGTCCCTGATGACCTCCAAAATGGGAGGCAGCATATCCAGCCTGAGCTAGTGAAGTCGTTATGTGCATGGATTTTAGAACCAGACAAACCTGAACTTTCTTCCCAGCTCCACTACTTCTAGCTGGGCCTTAGGAATGTCCTATCACCTCCCTAAGCCTCAATTTCCCAATCTGCAATATGGGATGAAATCTACCTCAAGGCCTTTTGGGAGGGATAAATTGAGATACTCTTTGTATGGCACTTAAGACTGCCTGACATAGTGTTAGTGACAACATTTAATAGCAAATTCATGTTTACTGAGCTGAGCTGAACATCTACTGAGAAATACCAGGACAGGGATTCAGCTGGACCTCTGATAAAATCCCAGCTCTGCTATTTACCAGCTGTATGACCTTGGGTAAGTTACTGAAGTCTCCCAAGTCCTTTTCTCCTTACTTATAAAAGGGCAACATTTTTACCTCCCTCCCTCAGGGACGATGCAAGGATCAAAAGTGACAAAGCACAGGGAGAAACTAAATTAGAGTTTCTAATTCACATTAGGAATGTGCATCACCACACTTCCAGCAACCCAAGGACTCAAGCAGTCTCTGACCTGGCAGAGGGGAGCACGCCTGCCTGCACACCATGACAACCAGGCAAGTCCAGACCAGTTTCCCTGGTTGCGCCAGAACCTCAAGAGGCCTTACAAGTACTGATGTAGGTGCCTTTACTTCCAGATGCCAGGGTATTCAGGGTTGATCAGTGTCAGCCATGCCTTGGCCAGGGATGGTAAGACAGGGTCTGCCTTCCAACTCCTCATTCTCTCCAGTCCTAATGCCTGTTCAGTCAGGAGCATCCAATCCCCCTCCCAGGGCCCTTCAGCTGCATGGACTAGACCTCCCAAGAGGGCCTGGATTGTTGTTTTAATGCATCTGCATGAGGGCCTCAGCTCTGGGGAAGGTAACAACTATTCCCAGACCAGCTCTGGATCTTGGGGGTGAAGGTGGGGCTGGATCTGAAGTAAGAAGTCAGGGCTGTATCTCGGGACTGCCACTAACTGTTCCCTCACTGCCTACCATCCCTTCCAAGAGATAAAGGGGCCCTTCCCACCTTGCCAGCCTGAGCTGTCACCAGCAGGGATGCCCTCCATGTGCTCATGGGCAAATCATCTTTGAGTCTCACTGTGCTAGGACAAATCGTGTGATAATGAAGCTAAACCGGCCTGACAAGTGGGAACAGTAAGCGCTCACTCGCTGGGCCAGTCCGCACGGGAACTCACCATCTTCTGCAGTGTTGAGTTTGAGGCTCTTGCCCTTGAAACTCAGCTGTCCCCCGGCCACCTGGGTTTTGGCTAGCGTCTCTGCCAGCTTGGCAATGTCTTCTGAGGCCATGCTGGCCACGCTGGTGGGCTCCCCTGGAAATCTGCAACCTGAGGAGGTCAAAGTTCATTAAGAGACAGGATTCTCTGGGTGCCTCCGGGTTGGGGAGGGCAAGGTAGGACATCAGCCATTTCAGCTACCTGACCCCACCTCCCCCTACTAAGGAAATCCCAAGCACTAAACCACTGGAAGAAATGAAAATAGCATTGGGCAAGGAACAGTTCTAAAAAGGTGGAGGTTTCAGCCTCTGAAGAGTTACCATCTCACTACAAGTCCTCCACTGCCCAACTGCCCCAGCTGGGACACCAAGCAAAGCCATGTGAGTTGACTATTTCCTGGGTCCCCAGTGAATGGCAGTCAAGTCCCAGTCTGATGGCTACAAAGAGTCTACCCAAAGCACACAGAGCTGCCTGATCATCTTGGCTGCTTGCTCTCTGTTTGAGAGTTCCATTCCTCAAACAGGACATAGATGGCGATGGGATCCAGGTCATCCATCCCAAAGAATGCCCCACCACCTACGGTGGCATGACTCTGGGGGTGGGGCACGAGGGTCAGCCCACTGTACGTCTGGTTTCAGCCTTGGCCAGGAGACTGGGCAGCCCATGGTGGCCAGACTTCAGGGGTTCCTAGGAGACCAGAAGTCTCTACAGCACAACAGCCACCATCACAACACACCAAGGACAGAGTTGCTGAAAAAAGGAGCTTCCAGCCTGGAGTTCAGCAGACTGGAGTTCGGCAGACTGGCAGAAAGCATCACTACATTTCCCCAAAGAGGAATGACAGGTAATCAGGGAAGAACGAGGATATGTAGTGTCTCAGATAGTGATAAGAAAAAAATAAACAGGGAAAGGGGTAAGGAGTTTTGTTGTTTTTCTTGGGGGAGGGCTGCCATCTAAAACAGAATGGTTAGAGAAGATATTATTAATAAAAAACCAAAGACTTGAAGGATATCAGGGATTGGGTCATGCAGATATCTGGGGGAAGAGCATTCTTACAAAGGAAGCAGCAAATGCAAAGGTTCTTGTGGGGGAAGATGGGTGATTAGAGGAAGTGCAAGGAGGCCAGCAGGGCGGGAGCACAGACAAGGAGAGAAGAGGTAAGAGATGAGGAAAGAGAGTCAACAAGAGGCCCGAGTCACAAAGGCCATTTTAAGAACTGTGGCTTTTACTCTGAGTGACAAAGAGAGCCATTGGAGGGTTTCTAGCAGAAGAGAGACCGTGATCTGACGTATGTTTTGACAGGATCACTCTATCTGCTGCATGAGGCAGGGCATTTCGAAGCTGCTCCAACAATGAATGAGGGGATGAAACTGAATATAAAATAGCCTCAACCCTCGCCTACTTGAGTTATGGAATGGGACAATTTAAGGCTAGAAAAATGGTGGTGAGGCCTCCAGATGGAATGGAAACACAAAACTTCTAAGCTGAAAGAGGGTCCATTTCTCAGTCCAGTACACACACACACACACACACACACACACACACACACACACACACACACACACACACACACACC